ATGGGAAAAGGTATTATGTACTAGGGAAATTGAACTTCATACTAATGTCTTCTGCCCAGGAGGAAGAAAAAGCATTTGGAAGGTGCCTAAACTCATGTATGAGATCTCATGACCCAGAGATTTTAAATCAAGCTGGCCCCCTCTTATTTTGTTCACACTCTAAAATACCCACTTGGAAGCACAATATTGTTAATTTTTGTGTCTTTATTCATTTGCTTGTCTCTGAGTTACTAAATCAGTGTACTACCTTTTAGTCAGTTTTTAACTCCATGTACTCATTATCGTGCACGACTTAATAAATGTTTGCTGAATATAAATATGCTTCTGATTTTATGCATATAATTTTATACCAAACAGATTATACATAACAGTGTTTTATGTAAGAGTGGGTACTTTCTGGACAACATCATCCCGTTGCCTTTAGATAATACATACTTAAGGGATGAATGTTAGAGTTGATATTATTATTCTTAAAAGTTGTGAAAACTTAAAAATACACCCTCTAAAATCTATTTAAAATAACCTTGTTCACCTTGGTGTTCTAATATGACATTTACGTTTGTACAGGATGTGACTAAAATGTATAATCATATTCTTTTTAATTCTAGATATATTTTGAGAAAACTTCTCCATAAATGAAACAGCATTCAACCAACAAGTAACTTTAATTAGTATTATTGTAAGTTAAGCACTGTCCCTAGGGACGTCACATTAAATGAGTGCGAGAAGATCACTGCTTTTAGGGAGTCTATATTCTAGAGGAAGGCGATAGAGCACAAATATGTAAACAAGCACAAAACATGAGATAAAATGTACTAGGCTAGGAATTAACAGTCTGATTGGGTGAGGATATTGAGGATGGTTCATTAATTCAGATCAGGTGTTTAGAAGGCACTTCACTGAGAATACTAAACCTGAAGCCTCATTAGCAAGAAGGAAACTGACATAAAGTTCTGAAGAAGGTTTTGAATTTAGCAAATAGTCAAAAACGTTATCACCTGAGCAACAAAAATAGGAATACCGGAAAAAGAAAGTTCTGGAAAGGGATACGATCTCTGTGAAAATTGTAAAGTTGGAATTCCTGGAAGAATTACTAATCTGTGTCCAAGAAGAGAAAGAAGGGGAAAATACTACGTATGAGACCAGGAATTTATAGGAATTCTTCAAGGAGGCTTCTGTAGAGTAAGTTGAACCAAATACACTGTAACACCTAAAGGGAGTGACACATGCGGTTTCCATTTTCATTTGTCTTCTCTATATTTAACTTTTACTATTTTCTTTTTTGGTACCGGGAATTGAACTCAGAGTCTCATTCTTGTCAGGCAGGCACTGTGCCACTCAGCTACACCTCCAGCCCATCTTCTTTTTCAATAAATTCTTCCAAAGCATTGAGATATTCTCTGGCCTCATCCATTATTCATTGCTTTTTTATACATCACTCTTTCTACTCCTTTTTATAAACATGCATCTCAAAATAGTTAACTATCTATGCTTTCTTTCATATCATTCCTTTACTTTCCCATCCTTTCATTCCACCTTATCTAGTTTTCGATCACTGTTTGTCTTCACCATCCCATTTGTGGTTCAATGAACCAGTCTCAAACCCTTCATGTCTTCATATTCAGCAATGTTGACCACAGTCCCCTTGCAGAAGTGCTTCCTTTTCTGGACTCCTGTGACAATGTTACCTAGGCTGCCCTTTTGCCTTTCTTAGTTGTTTCTTCTCTAAATCTGTACATAGGCTCACAACTTCCAGTTCTTGAAATTAAATGTTTAAATGTCCTTTAGGACTTGCTTCCAGGCCCTCATTTACTGTCACTGTCACTCTCTCCCTGTGTGCATATGCGTGTGTACACACACACACACACACACACACCCCTTTTCATAAGTCATTTATATGTCTACTACCTCATTTTTATCTTTTTGTAGGCCTCTATTCACAGTGTCAGATTCACATATCCACCAGTCTACTTAGAATGATTTATAAGTATAATCAAGACCTCTAAACTTTTCCCAAACATGATTTTCAGTCTTCTTTGACTTAGTGAATGCCATTTGCATCCATTTAGCTGCCTATTCTGTAAAGCAGAGTGTGTAGAATTTCACCTTCACATTGTCTCTTGAATCTCTTTGTCTCCATCTTTGGAAACTCTCATGGAAACTACTGCAAAGTCTAGAATTGGTTTTATTTTAGCTGTTGTACTTAAAAATAAGTCCTCTTTTGTTGTAAGTCTGTTATATGAGGGTGATCTGGCTGTGATATCCGTCACCTCATTGATGGCCAAGGTTGGTTCAGCTGATCTGGCTGGCTAGGTGGGTGGCCCCTTCCTCCCTCATGTGTGTCCCTCCTAAAGTTGTCAGCCTGGTCGAAGAAGAAGACCACCCCAGATAGAGGAGGACTGTTTCTCAGCCAAAGGTAGAGGAGTAGCAGTGCTCCTCGGCTAGAATCTCCAAACAAGCACTCAAGGTCCATTCAAAGATGCAAATCTCCATTCAAATTGAAAATATGACTATCAATGTAATATTTATGTATATATTTAATATATAAGTACTGTATCCTTCATCTATATTTATATATAAATGTAAATAGCTTTCTTCATTTGGCCACACTTCTTTAAATAATGTAAAATTTTTGTTAGAAATGCTAAGATAAATATATCTCATTTTCTGACATTTTGCTTGACTATTAAGGTTAAAGTTTTGAAAATGCCATCAATGAATGATTGACCTGGGTTATCTTATAATCATATTTTATGATCTGGAATGAAAATTATTGGACAATTAGTCTTCTGGCCTATTTAAAAAGTGAAGAAATTCTAGGTGGGTTAAGCAAAGACAATAATTTATTAATAATGGAGTTGAAATGAGACTCATATTTTCCAACGTTCTTGCTTACTAAGTTTCAGAACTAGTTATCTAATATTGACAACCAAGTGAAGACCAAAGACATTGAGCGGTTTTTTCATTTTGTTTTGTTCTATTTTGTTTTGTTCCCAGTACCGGGAATCAAACCCATGACCTTGCACTTGCCAGGCAGGCACTGTGCCTCTGAGCTAAGTCCCCAACCCCAACATTGAGGTTTTTGATCTGAAAAATCAGTATGGGTTTCTAATACAGATGACAAGCACCAGGCAGATACTGTCAGATTTATTGACCCACGGAGAAACTGACCCTTACTAAGACTCACTAAATCCAAATCGCCAGTCTGAAGTCTGTTTTCTTCACCCACAATATAAAAAGAATGCTGAAAAAGCAACATGAAGCAAAAAACTTCCCTCTTTCTTTCTTCAGTTCTTAATTTTCAGACACAGAAAAACTTCTCTCTGTAGTGTCATCTTTAATAAGTATTAAAATAGAAATCCCTGGTCACCTAAAATCTGTTTTATATAATTTCTTACATAGAAGAGAGAATAGAGTTTTTAAATTAAAATTTGGTTTATTTCAAAATTATTTCTATTTTTATTTCAGGTAATAAAAAAACCTGAAGTGAAACTTTCAGGTATTTTGCATTGACAATTCTTCTGAACTTCCAAGTCTTGTAACTATTTGCTTAGTTCTTGAAAAAGTACCAGTCCATAGGGCTTTATAAATTGTTATATTCAAAATATTTTAAGTGCAAAATCAGAATGTATATTTGTATAAAATGTATAAAACACAGTATAAATGGCTTATTTATTTTATATACCTATTTTGAAGTTTTCTATAGTGTCTTATAGAATAATGCAGTACTAGTTATAAAAGTAATATACTATTTCTATAATGGGAAGAATCTTTATAAGGCTAAAGATTATTTAGAGTGTGTTTTTCAATAAATAAATCTGTTTCTGTCAAGATAGAACTACCCAGTTCTTCTATTATGAATTTGTTCCTTCCTACTTAAGAGGAAAAGTATCTGAAGATTGGACACAAAAGAGAAAGTTACATTTCTAAGAAAAAATAACAGAAATAAAGAATAAGCATTAAACAGTAAATTACTAAAGTACAAAATCTATAACTATAATTTTTTAGACAAAGTGACCTGTCTCTTCAGGACCTAAAACATACTCTAAAAAGATAATTTGTAAGGTCACAATGACCAGTTAACATTTAGCAACTCAGTGGACAGTAATAAAATCAAGAAAATTTTGAACTCCAGTCAGTCAATATAAAAACATGAAAAAAACATTTCGTTTCAGAGGTTTATCTCACCACTTTCTTGGAACTGCAGCTAAACAAAAAGACAAGTTGAAAATAATTTTATGAAAATAAAGTATTGAATAAAGAAGGAAAGTTGCCATCTTGATATTAAATATTCATATTTGATTATAGTTTAAAAACATTTTTAGTGATAGAAACTGAAATTAATACTGGATCAGCAGTTAATAAGGGACTAGGTACAATGAAAATGTCATTAAAGGAATAAGAAATTGAATGAATTAATGGAATCAAATATATTCTCCTATAGGCTTATAACATTTATTTATTTATTTATTTATTTACTTATTTATTTAACACATTTATTTACTGAGCACGTCTGGTAGATGCAAAGAAAGAGACATTTCGTCTGCTTAATGCAGGTGCTAAGAAAGACAGTCACAAGTCAGGGTGCTTATCCATTCCTCTAGAAAGTGAGCTGTTTGGGTTCCATTATGGCTTTACACATCTCATTGCCTTAAAGTGCTCAGAAACATATTTGAACTGAACACTTGACCAAAAATGTATTGCAATGAAAGATTAATCTGCATCGTAGGATATGTACAAATAAAATTTGATGGTTATTCATGGCAAGAAAGACTACATTAGATGGGAGTGCGCCATCAGTGTGCGTGGCTAGAAGATATCAGGCATTTGAACACCTAAGCAGTATAACTTCACTGAACTAACAATTCCCTTTAGGTAATAGTGTTACACCACGATGTAACACAAGCTATATACTCAAGTCCTAAAACAAATTTGCAGGTCCTTCTCCTCTTCTCAAGCAGAGTTTGAGGTGTTTGATTCAGGGTTTGAAGGAAGATGCCTCCTGACAATGTAAAAGGACAGGTGTTCTTTAGAGGCCACTTGGGTTCTATTTTCGATTGCAGGAAGAATCTGCAACTTCATAGCCATCTTTCCGCATTTCTGTGGGCAGAACCAACGCTGCTCCTGTTCTCCACTATCAGAGGCAAGTCAGCCGGAATGTGGAAGCCCTGCCAAGCAGGCAAAAGCTGTTTAGGATTTCACTGGAGATGCAAAGGCATGAGGTTGTATCAGTTTAAGGGAACAAGTCACCAAAGCAGCATTCTTCTTAATTCCTGTGTAATATTCCCTACTCCGAATTTTTTAAAATTAATATATGCTTGCAAAACATGACTGCTTTTATTGTGGGTATTGGTATGTGACACAGTACATCTTCATTCTGTTTTATGTTCCCTTCCCTCCTCTCTCCTTTCCCCCTCCCTCCATTTTCAGTCCTCTTCCAGCTGCAGCTCTATCTCCCTGTTTCCTGAAATTCTGACAAAGTTTCTCTAATTGTTCATAAGAGTATTTCTCCTCTGGGGCACACATTTCTCTTGATTTCCTGGTCAAAAACTGTGGGTAATTTGAGAAGTAATATGTCAATTAATTTTATTAAGTACCTATTAGATTTCTAACAACAAAAGCTATGGGTATGGGCAATAACATAGAAAAATTCAACTTTTGTATTTATAAATTATTTCTTTCTTATATATAAGAAATAAATGAGAAATATCAGGAAAACCTGATGAAATAAGCAGCCTTGCTTAGGAGACAAATGACTGTGCTGCTTTGGTACTCTCCTCTGTGACTATCATGAAAACTTTAGTAAATGACTTCACTTCTCTACACTTCATCTATAAAAGAAGAAGTTGGATCACAGGAATTCATCATTCTTCAAATACATCCATGGAGATGAGACTAGATAAGTACTAGACTAGATAAGTCTCCTTCTGTTACTTCACATACATTTTTAGATCTTAGAAAATTATCATGACAAAGTTTAAATGGGCTACTGTAAATCACAGATCACTAGAGCTTGAGGAAATCTTTCCTAATGCTACAGTTTACTTCAAAAATGAGGAACTGGGACAAGCTAATGTGAACTTAATGATTTGAGTGTGCAGTCAGTGGTATAGATCTTTCAGTGCAGCTTTCCTACTTCTCTCACTAGATAAGGTATTTCTTAGTGCTCAAAAATGCATGTCTTTAGTTTCACTTGTAATTATTTTTAGCATTCACTGAGATTCATTCATTTTTTCATCACAGCTCTTTGAAATGAAACTAGTTATTAAAACTCAGAAGGCATGAAAACTACCAAGATCAGAGCTCAATAATTTTACAGGGAAGAGAAAGAATATTTAAATAGCACATTTTTCCGTTCTAGTATGGCTATCATTCCTTAGACAAAACAATGGCTGAGCACGAAAACACTGTTTTAAAAAATTAAATGTCAATAACATGTTAATTATTTTTTCAAAACATGAGCTCTGAATAAAAATAATAACCATGCCTACATTAAAATAAACATATTATATTCATGCTTACATTAGGAAATACAATTCATGGAAGGTGGTTATTGGTATGAAATGCCATAAGTTTGTGTTATAGAGTTTCATTTTGCAAAATTATGATCAAATAAATTGTATAATTTAACTTACAGTGTTCTTGCAAATTGTCTCAATCAAGAGCTATAAATAGGACAAACAATATATCCAAGTCCAAAGTCTTTGATAGTCACTAGTGTCCATGACTGTCCTGGAAATTTGCCAGACTTTCTAAAACTTATCCTTTCCATGAACTTCTGTTCAGCAATAGCTCCACAAGGAAAAGGAGGTGCTTGATACAATCTGAGGATTTTAATGTCATGGAGTTGGCACACTAAAAAGATACACTTTTAGATATTATGAAATTTTCCTTCTGTTCAGGAGAAATTATTAAATTTCTAGGGTAAATTTTTACCTAACCATTTAATCCTTAAGAAATCACTTTATGCTTTTCTTAGAATGACAAAATTATGTTTTCTCTAGAAACATTTCCACACGGCTGCTGAAAAAACAAAAGGGCTACACAGTGAATTCAAGGTCAGGCTGAACTGCATAGTGAGACCTTGTCTCTAAATAAATAAATAGGTAAATGAAAATTGATGAGAAAGGAATGGAAAACCCACTCAAACAGGGAAATATGTAGGAAACTATCTCACTGTTTCATTGGCAACAGGCTGAACATGTATTCAGTCACCCTCTATCACAAGAAAATGAAAAAGAAATACTGACATTGACATTATTTGAGAAATAAAACAAAATAAAATGCAACCAAGTTGTCAAAATAATAGAGAAAGGATTTCTTATCTTGGTTATAATAATTATCCTGTTATGAAAATGTGCAGACTAATGTTTCATCAATGGCTTCATCTGCAGATACATGAAGGTGAACATGGAATGTGGGAATACATAACATACATATGTTCACATTACATGTTACATATATTAGATTCCCTCCACATCCGCTCATTTACTGCAGTTCCAATCTGTGATCTAAAATCCAGAAGAAGGTTAGTCGTATGAAGCAATCTACTCTGTATTTCAGTGACTTACATTATTTGATACATACTGAATATTCACTTTTGAAATTTAGAGTTTAAACAAAAGTTGAATATAATTTGGAATCAATTAATATCTCCCGTTATAACAGGAGTACTTTGACGGGTATCTGCCAGTGTAAGCATTTTATTGTCAGCTCCTACTTTAAAAAACTCTTTGTACTTGGTATCAAACTCAGTTTATACCTAGGGCATTTCATCACTGCAGCAATGGGCTTTACCAGAATTTATGACAGAGACAGAAGGGTGCTATCATTCGAATGCCGCCCCCTCCAGTCCTTCATGTATTAGAACTTCATGCATACTATGGTAACATTAAGAGGTAGACAGACACTATGTCAGTCATAAGGGCTTCACCTTCAAATATGATTAGTGCTCTCATAAAAGAAATTAAGGGAATTAGGTTTCCTCTTCCAAAATGTGAGAGGGGACTTGACAAGACAGAACCATCTTTGAATCTGACAGCAAAACTTCACCAAATACCATCCAGTCTTCATTGTGATGAACACATTTCTGATGTTTATAAATTATGAAGTTTAAGCTATTTCATTATAGCAAGCTTAGTAGATTAAGACAAAGGAGTTTTAAAATTTTATTCTGAAATTTTTATTGAAATTCTGCAGTGGGTTAAGACAAATTTAGAGAAAGAGATAAGAATAAAAGAAATGTTCTTTAAATATCTTCTGGAATTAGTATACCTATTTTGCTCCATTTACTGTTGATAACCCTTGCACATTTTTATTATTACCATTTTACATCTAAAGATGTAAACACAGAGTTTAAACAAGATGAAGGTCAAGGGTTATGGCTCTCATAAAGATAAGGCAAATTAGGTTATTATATAGTCTAATGCCGAGGAAAAATTTCAGTTTCTAGCCCACAAATTATAACCAAGGAACAGAGTCAAGAAGTGAAAAACTGACCTTATAGCTGAATGATGGTAGCAAGAACTAAGTGAATGGATTTTATTTTGCAACTATTTGTGGCTTCTTATAGGACTGGGCCATATTTTCAAGCTTGTGTTATAATTCAAGGACACCAGCTAATACTGGAGTTGGTGTTTGGTGCAAGAGAAATTAAAAGAATGTGTATTCTAGCCATTTTCTGAATTGTATAATTATGTTTTAAATGTGAGTGGAAAAAATGCTAAGGAATAAGTCTTCTGTATTTTTAAGTGATCAGGAAGGAAAACACCCACACACATTTGCTTTCAGAATTTAACTAGAAAATAACAGTTCATTCATAAATTAATTTGAAACAATGAGGCATTTCTGACTACTTAAGTAAAAGTTAAAATGGAGGGTTGTTTAAACTCTTTGCTTTGATTTGAAAGAGACAGTATACTTCTCATAGATGTGAAATATGACTCTGAAAATGAGAAAATCTAATGTCATCTTAATTTCATTTCACCATACACAAAAGATGTGGACTTAATATGAACACTCTATGTCCCTGTGACATTAAGTAAAGTGCTATTTTCAATGCCTTTTACTATTAAGAGAGATTCGCTTATTCTTCTAACAAACAATTATTGTTAACTACAAGTGAGTTATAATCTTGCTCTTGAAAGGTAGGAAAACTCTTCTATCTATCAAAACATATAACTTTAAACATTATTACCTATAACAATAACATATTATCAGTAGCTCTGATAATTTTAAAATATGTCCACAAATTTATTTTATACTGCTTGTTTCAAAAGTTGCATCATAATGCTCACGGTTTAAGTAAGAGGTAGATTTGGGAACTTGCTTCTAACAGAACAAAGCAGAGAAACTGATGTTTGGCTTCTGGACTAGGTCTGAAGAAAGCATTCTGGGCTGTCCTTGCTCTGAGAAAACCAGATGCCGTGCTACAAGAACACTCAACCAGCCCCAAGAAGAGACAACATGGAAGGACCGAAACCACCAACCAACCCCCAGTGATGAGTGTGCGTATCCTGCCCAGCACTATGTCACCGAGTTACAAATACATCCTCCAACCCTGTTAAGGCTTCGTTGACATTGTTTCTGCTGTCATTCTGCTTTTGTTTTATTTTTATCAGTCAATGTTCATGCCATCATGGTTACATTCATTGTGGGGAGTCTTGACTGCAACCACATGAGAGATTCCAACCTGAAAATGCCCAGCTGTCTCAATCCCAAACTCCACATCCGCGAAGCCGTGAGGTAGCAATTATTTGTGTTTCTGTGCTCTGACATCTGGGAGTAAGTTTGCTGTGCCTCGGTAGATATCTGATAGAGTAGTCAAACCTATTACAATGGTTAGGAAGTGAGAAACATTTTTCTCAAGTGGGAAAAGGATCCAGAGAGGGAGAGAAGGCGGGCAGGAAGGGAAGGAAATGGATGACAAATGGGCTTAGGAAGTGTTCTGCACATGCACCAACTCCACACAAGAAATGTAAACGTTCATTGCAAACATGTACTATTAAAAAAGTAAATAAATGAGTGAATAAATGAATAAAAAAATAAGAAACATAGGTCAAGAACACAATATCATTATTTCATCTCTGAATGAACATCATACCTAAAGATGATTGTTTGGTTAACATGTACATGTATTATTGAAACAAAAATCTGTCATTTTGGTCTT